TCTTGGGCATGCATGCATATGTGCCTGGTATCAGTTTAAGCCACCAGGTCCAGGACTCAAACCACAGTTAACTACATGGGAGTCCAGTGACATAGCCATTACACCAACTGCTGGTCCCTGTTGTTGTTTTAAGCCACCAAATTCTGGAAAAACATCTTTTGTTCAATAAATAACATGCAATCAGTCACTACTTTCAAAGGTTTCAGTGGTTGTCATGTGGAAACAGATGTGTCCCCTGACATTAAAATTGGGAGTAAAGTTTCAAATTATGACTTTATGTAAGGTAGAACTTCATGACCTTGAAGTCTTCAGAACTATCAAATAATAATGACTTTCACTGGAGCTGTGTGAGCAATGAGAAATTTTTTTTTCCCATTGGATATTGTCAAGGGAGTTCAGTCATAAAGAAACTGAGGTTCTGGATCATCTATATAGACCTTTCCAACTCTGAGATGGTGACCAAAATAATGGTGGTAATGATGTTGACAAAACTTACATTTGCACAGAGCTTTATAGCTTACAAAGAACTTCCATATAAATTATCTCTTTTAATATTAATGTTAACCCTAAAAGTGAGGGCAGGCATGAGTAGTAATTCTACTTTACAGATAAGAAAACAAAAACTCATAAAGGTACATGCATTGTCCAAAGTCAACAAGAGTAAAGTGGTAGAGCCAATATTTTTAACTCACGGAGGGATCTCCCTGATTCCAACTCATGAATAGTCTTTCCCCATATCTCACTGCCTATCTAGCCTAATAAAACCAAGTGTTTAAATTTCCTCAATCTAAGTAGTACATGTAACTATCTTCTACCCAAAATATGAACTTCCTAAAAACCCAGTCCTAATCTTAAACCTGTCCTAGGACCTAGAGATAGAAGAAAACTTCAATCACTATCTGTGCTCCCAGCCAAGGAAATGCTAACCTTAAAATCAATTATCCACTCTCAGTTTTAAGCTTATCTCTGTGACATGAACTAGAGCTGCCCCAGACCAATGAAGCCTTTATGCCATGGCCTCAATCATGAAGCATTAAGCTATATAGATGATCCAATTTCCTTCCTGGTCTAGCAGTTGTCTTTCACAGAGAACAGGTATGGAGCCAGGAGAGAAAGAGTAATTATGGTAGAGTTAAGAGCTGGTGGAAGGTGAGCTTCTTCTACTTTCCTCTGAAGCACGTCTCTGGCCATGGCCTTTTGTCTCTTCTCCAAAAAGTCTTGACTATTCTGATTCTTCTTTTTATAAACTACCTGTTATTTTAACATTTTACTGCACTAGATTCAGCTCTGCACCAACTTCTGGGCCTCTGAAATCACTCTATCACTGACAGCTTCCTATATCATATCTCTGTGTTCCATGCCCTGGGGCCTGAAACACAATCTATCTCCCTCTCCCCAGGTGCTGCCACCATCTCCTCTATCCCTCCTGGTTCTTCTCTCTGGAACCTGGTTACAAGGAGGGACATCATTATCTTGTATTCCTTCCTTCCCACCTTTCTTTTCTCTAAAACTAGTCCCATAAAACCCTGTCAATGAATGTTTTTGCTTCATGCTCAAGGTAATACTGGGTGCTCTCTATGTGCCAGGCCCTTAAAGAGTTTGCCACCACCCTGACCCATCCATATTTATGTTCACTATTCTCTGTCCTTATATCTCCTCAAGAGGCTGATCCCCAAGGAGCCCATCATCCTGGCTGTCTCACTACAGTCCTAGCCAATGGAAAGGACAGGTGGGAGGTCAGAAGGTGAGAAGAAAAGGTCCAGGTATTTCTGTCCTGCTGCCTCCCTGCCAGGCTTCATGTCTCTAACAGTGGCTGAGTCTGCATAGCTCCCACTAGGTAGTCCCTCTGGCACAATTCCAGCTCTCAGTGGACTTTGGTAACACTATTTCTACCTTGACTTATCTGTCCTAAGAACGGTAAGGACTTGAAACTGGTGTTTGTCTCTGAGTAGCTCAGCATACTCAATAAGCTTTAACTGTGCCTACCAGTTTCCAAGCAGTCTTATTATTAAAATTTTATCTGAACCATCTACCTTAAATTTGATCTGCTATCTGAACCCTGACTAATATACATATAGGACCACAACAAATGCTATAATGTAGAGCTTTTTCTCATATTGCCCAAAAGATACTCTTCTTTACACTCTTCCAGTTCTGTGATATTATTAACTGACTAGCCTAATATTGAGAAATGGGCAGGGCTTTGATCTTAGATGTAAGAGGCTAGGTTTAGCCCTCATTATGTGTGCTTTTGAGAAAATTGTTTGCTACCCCTTAACACATGTTGCAGTATCCTCAACTATAAAATAAAAGGTTAAACTATATCAGTAATTTTTAAAGAAGGGCCCACAATCTTGGGACATTGCCAAGATCCTTTCAGGAGTTCTGTGAGGTCAAAATTATTTTCATAATAACACTGAAAAGGTGTTTTTTCTGTTTTCTCTTTTTTCACTTGCTGACATTTCTATGAATAGTACAAAACCAATGATAGATAAAATTTCTCATTATCATTACCAGGGCAATGGCACAAAACTGTACTTATGGCCATTGCATTATTTACTGCCACACAGTAAAGTAAAATTTTAAAATACCAATTTCACTTAATATCCTTGATAAAACAGTAAAAAATAGTGATGTTATTAAATATTGACCCATTGGTATATGTTTACATATTATATATAGTTTTTCTGGGTGATAAAATGAGAACTACACTTCAGGCATTGCTAATGTATGCCAAGATACACAAGTAACAGTCACTTTCAAGAAGAAAGAAAGGGTGTGATGATTTTAACTGCAAGGCGAACTAGTTGCTTCTCCTATGGAACACTAGTTTTACTTGAAAGAATCATTGACAGGCTATAATTATTGAGACAGAGGTGTTTGGCAGAACTTTTCTTGAAAATGAACAAAGTAAGAATGTCTCCACAAGGAAAACAATGGATGGTATTTATTACCAATGAAAAAATTTGAGCTCTCAAGCTTCCAATATTTGAAGACTTATGTTGATACCAGCCATGATATTAACAAAAGATATTTGCTGATTACATAATAAAAGATGTTAACATCTGGACAATCTCTACAACTTGGTGAGATAAATAAAAAACTTTATTTCTAGAAGTGAAAGCTTTGTATGAGGACTCAGGAGATCTTGGTTTGAATCTGGAGTCTGTCATTTACTTGCTAATTCAGCTCTATTGTCTCATCTGTAAAGTGGGTATAATAGGCTACCTGAGACTATTATAAAAGGACTGACTAAATAATGTGTTGTAATAAATGTTAATGTAGATTCAATAAATTAATGTTTAAAATAATACAAAACAAGTGCTTGGCACATGGTAAGTGTACAAATGTTTTCCATCATTACCATCATTATTCAGGTGGGAGCACTTAGATAACCACCTTTCCATGTAATACAGGACTTCAAGACAGAGCTCTGATAATGTATATTGCCAGATTTAGATGCTAGCACCACTTACTAGTTAGAACCTTGGATAAATGATTTAACAATATGACCATATATAATAATACATTTGAATACACTAATTAATAATCATACAATAATTTTGAAAAATAAATGAGATAAGTCTTAGCTACTTAGCCCAAGTTCTGATACATTAAGTTAACTTGTTTAGACTAGTAACTGGGAATTCAAAAATATTTCTTTTCTTTTTGGAGAGGTTTTTGCTATAGGGCGTGCATGCTCACCAGAAAGACTGAGAGAAACAGAGAGACAGAAAGCAAAAAATCACCCCCCAGGGGGATGGCCATGTCACAATCCCTTCTCCTCCATTCTCCTCTCAGGATCTTGGGCACACACCACATGTTCCTGGCATGAGTTTAAGCCACTGGGTCCAAGACTCAAACTGCGGTCGACTACATGAGAGTTCAGCACCATAGCCATTACACTAACTGCTGGTCCCTCAAAAATGTTTCTTGACATTTGGCATACAATTATATTAGAATATGATAGCATTAAAACTTACACAGAAAGATTCACAGATTTTTGTGATATTCTCAAGCACTGAGAGCAGTAAACACGTTCTCTAAAAAATCAAAAGCTCTATTTTTAGCATCTGCCTATTACTGTAGTGTAAATACTCACATTATGGACAATTTCAAGCTATTAACTTCAGGCCACCCCATGCAGAGTTGGGAAGAAATTCTCACAGCTGTCACTTGTGAGCTGCTATGAGCCGGCTTCACCACACCATTGCTTTCGAGAGTACTTTGGAAGTGGAGTCACTTTCAATGAATTCCCTCTGAGGACTCTGTTCACCAAGAGAACAGAGGGTTGCTTACACAAGAGCAGAGAAGCAAAGGAAGCTGAGTTTGTGGTGTTTTTAGAGACATTTTGAAAGTCATTGTGATTTCTCACTAATCACTCAGAATATGACCCATTTATGCACATAGGAAAATAAGAAGATTCTCTATGCACTTTTAATCATTGGAAAGGTTTTCATGGCATGAAACCTTGCAAAGAAAAAAGTTTAAGATACAATTTAATCAGAAAATTCAAGACACATTTTGCATCATTCCCTTTATTAAAGAAAAATTTTTCCTTTGAGTATATTATGTCCAACTCTGAAATTCACTTTAAAAATTTGGAAAGAGTAAATTTAACTTAAAAAAAAAAACCTGCTGGGCAATTGAAATGCTCTGGTTCCAAAGTTAAAAAAAAATGCAAGATTATATATTATATAGCAAAGATAGAGAAAACAAGTGGAGTCACCCATGACAATCTGTCATGTCAACCATTTATGCATTTTCAACATCTGCAACTGAAAAGCCACAGAAGTCAAAAGCTAAAAACAAAAAAGACTTCCAATGACCACAGATGGTTTGCCACTGCTGCTGTAAGATTTCACCCTCTATTTCATGAAAAAATAAATTAATTATAAATAAGGAGGTGAAGAGAGTCAGTATGTATTCAAGTGTGTTCACAGGTGTGTATGCAGAAGGGGCAGGAAAAAGAACTGAATGGCTATCCTCTCCTGCACTTGCTACACGAAACTCTCCTCCATGTTACTGCAGAGTAAGAAGGAGTCCACAAGTCGAGGCTGGACCAGCTGTTGGAAGTCAGAGTCCTGGAGGCCTTCAGGGCAGACTCCAGCCAATCTACGCAGAGCAGCCTGCGGAGAAAACAGAAGAGATGACACAGGGCACACTGGGCTCTGCCCAGGTGAATGTATCTCCCACCACTGCCCCAAGAGATGCATTCCTGGAAGTGGCTCATTTACCAGTCAATTTGAGCTGATCATCATGGCCAGCAGGCACCTGAGTGACAATTTGTGCCACCTGGTCACCACAATAACCTTACCACTTCGTCACCTGGGTTCGTTTGCACCTTTGTCACTTTGGCAGATGTTGTCTGAAAGCTCTGAACATCTAAAGAGACTGAATAATAGTTTTGCCATCTTCGTTTTTCAGACATATTAGGAACCTAGTCATTTTAAAGAGCAGTCATTGTAAGGATCATGTCAACTTAACGAGATGTTTAATTTCAAAATGTGTTTGTCCTGTAGACTGAAGCTGCCAGAAGCATGGATAGAAAGATATTATTGCCCCCACGTCCCTAGGATAACCCAAGAACAAGGACTATTCATTTACCCATAAATCAGCAGGTCCTATGCAAAGTACTACAGAATGGGAAGGAAGGAGGAGAGAAGGAAAACACAGAGTTGAAGTAGACACAGATTCTGCCACTGAGAAATTCAATGTCCAGTGAGAGGAATGAACAGGAAAGAAGGGTGCAAGCAAAATGGAACCTCTCCCCAGTTCGCTGCACACTGAGTGTTGAGTACTTTATTCCTATTTCATGTCTATGTGCCCCACTCTTCCCTATCACATGAAGTCCCTCCCCATTTTTAACTTTTTAATTATTTTTTTAGCCAGCAGATACATTCATCCTGCAAGGCCTGGCCCCTTGTCACCTGCCTGAGCTTTCCCTAATCATCCTGAAGCAGAGACAGTCCCTCTCCTATGCACCCAGAGCCCCTGGGCTGACCTCAACCTTCTCACACTGGACTATAACATGTTTTAGGTGTTTCAACTCTGAGCTCCCACAGAGTAGGGATCTTCTTTTACATCTTTCTGTATTTTTAGCAGGTGACACAGAAGTTGGCATAGGGCTCAATAAATGTTTGATGAAAAGCTTCAAAACAGAGCTCTACTTACAGAGCAACCTGAAACTGTGAATATGGCTGGTCACTAACCTAGACCTGTTTATCAGTTATCAAGGCAATGCATACCAAGCCCTTGATGAATATTAGTTCTTTCCTCCTTCTCAAACACGTTCACAAACAAGGGACAAAGTGCCTCCTTCCCACCCACCCCAGAAACGTGGTGGGAAAGATCTGAAATGGCAGAAGAAGCAAGGAGAGAATGCTAATACTCACCGACTTTCTACAGGTAGTGTCCCATTTAAACTCTACACTATGCTGCAACGTGACTATCATGCTTCCCATTTAGGAAATAAGAAAACTCTGGTTCATAGAGGAAAAGTGGCTTTCCTCAAGGCCATGCAGCAGTTCAACCTCAGGGCACTCACACCTACACAGATGGGCAGGATGCTGCTCCCACAGGACACCAGGTGCCATTGCATACAAGGCAGGAGTAGAGATGAACATTATATAGATGTGACAGGTAGCCTGTAGCTGATAAATCAGGCCAAGGAGGTGAAAAAAGAGGACAGTCTGAGTCACAGGTGCTGTCTCGTCCATGCTGACTCAAGGAGGAAGAACGTGAGCCTCTGGCCAGATGAGCAGAATATGAGACCTTGGTACAGAAAGCGATTGCATGGGACTGTCTGCAAGGAGTGTGTCCTGCCTCTCCTGTAGCATAGTTCACTTCCAGGGCTAAAGAGGCTGGACTCCATAGCACCCTTTGATTCCTTTAGTTCTAATTGAGAAAAATAACCCCATTGCCCATGAGCAGATGGTGAGGACATGAAGCCATCCATGTATTTTACATCATCAGGAATAAAAAGAAAGCAGGAGCAGGGAAAACAAAGAGGGATAAAGAAATTAAGAAATCAATCTATCTAAAAGGCAAAGAAAATAAAAGAGAAAAATAAAAGGGAGAAAAAATAAAGAGACAATGAAAAAATGAAAAGGAACTATTAAAACATAGAGACAGGGGACAGCAGGTGGTTTCATGGTTAAAGTACTGGACTCTCACATGGTCAACCACAGTTTCAGTCCAGGATGTAGCAACTTGAAACTCATGACAGGCGCATGTGTGAATGTGCCCAAAATCCCAAGAGGAGAAGGGAGGAGAAGGGATTGTGGCATGACCATCCCTCCAAGGAGTGATTTCTTGCTTTCTGTCTCTCTGTGTCTCTCTATCTCTCTGGCAAGTGCATGGACCCTATATCAAAAATTTCTTTAAAAAGAGAGAGAGAGACTGGACTAGCTCCATAGTGCAGCAGTTAGGTGCTATGCAAAAGAAGCCAGATCCCACTTGGTTGACCAGGATTTGAGTCCTGGTCCCATTGGCAATAAAAAACATACTAGGCATATGAGTATGGCCAGGATCCTGACAGGATTGGAGAATTATAGAAAAAGATTGGGGATGAGGTCTTATTGGAAATTATTTTTCTCTCTCAAGACAGAGAGAAACTTGGGGAAGGAAATGAGAACAAGCAAGAAGGGGAGATGGAGAAAGTAAAGGAAATAGTGCAAAGAAAAATATCTTGGAGGCCGTGTGGATAATAGGCAGTAGGATGGGGTGAGGATGCAGAGAGGAAAGGAAGGAGTAGAAGAGGGAAGGGAGGAATGAGGAGAATAAAAAGAAGGGGAGGGAGGGAAAAAAGAAAAAGAAACTGCTGAGAGAAGAGGCAAGGAAGAGAGAAAAGCAAAATGCAAAAAACTTGAGAGAATAACATCCTCATCTCCCCAAGGTCCTCCAAAAGTCTGCAAGACACAACCCCCAGAGCACCCGTCCTCAGTGTCCCACAAGCTCAAAAGACCCTTCACCCTCCTAAGCCTTCTCTTGGTCTCTGCCTTGCAGGAAGGGTTAACAATCATCCCAAAATCTCACTCCCAGACAGCCTTAAAACTCCCAAGTATTAAACAAGCCCAGCAGCTCACTGATAGCTGCTTCATTAAGGAAAAATCAATTCTGTTTATAAGAGGTGATCTGTGCATCCACTTTTCTAGACATGGGGAACAACTGAAATTTCCTCCCTCCACCTGAAGAGAGCCTTTGAAACTGGAAATAAGGCCTTGGAGAAGAGCAAGAAAGGTGGCTGACAAGTCCCTGTGCCAGACTTCTTCAAGTGGAGTCCATCTCACTAGCCAGGGGAATCACACACAAATGTTGCAGCCCTTCTGGGACCAAACACTAGGGCCTGCGGTGTTGGAGGAACAAGTCTGCCAGTCCCAAAGTCAGGAAATTAAGTCACCAAACTCAAGGTCCTTTGGAGACACAAAGAGCGCTAAGAAAAGACCTCTGCCCTGAGAAGGTTCCAGGTCAGAGAGGGGGTAATACAAATCTTCCTTCAAAAGTCAACACAGCAAGACAAGGGACATGGGAGAGAGGTGGAGAGAAACAGGACAGCTGGAAACAAGATGATCTAGTCAAAAAATAAAGGCCCCCAAGCTCAGGCAGACCTGTGTTGGAATTTTAAGAGCCTCATACCTGGAACATGATCACACAACTTGCCTCAGATGTGGTACAAAGGCCAAGACAGGAGCCAGGTACATGCTGTGTCCTCCTTGTCTTGGTACTGCAAAGTCCTGGAAAGCCTCGTGGAGGAGAGGGAATGGGATTGGGGCCTTGAAGTATGGGCAAGATGTTAATCAAGAGTCCTAGGGAGACCATCTACTGGGGCAAGGACCAAGGCGCAGGTCAAGGGACTCTGGTTTGGCCTAGCTGGACAGGGCCTGAGACAGTGGAGGGCCTTCAGCCTCACTGGTGGGTCAGAGCCAGACTGTGGAGGACTGAACAGCTGGGTTGTTGCCCATAGATAATGGGGTACCATGGAACAGTTCCCTGAGGGTTCACGGAAGTGTTATGATTATAAACTACATTAGGAAAATTAACTCAGCAACCACATGGGGGATGGATCAGGGAGAATGGAGGCTCTCTTTGTCACCCACCAACTCATCCATAAGAACACGGGTAATCTCTTTTCCACTGGAAATACTGTCAACTGATTATGATTAAAAAGGGTAGTCATGCCCTTCTGCATGCTCGCCTTCAAAGTAATAAGGACCAAGGTAACAGTAACAAACCCTCAGATCTGAGTATATCTTTGTAGTTTCCCAAGTGCTTGCAATGCAACCAACATCTCCTCAGGACCTATCAGTGAGGCAGTTGCTAGCTGTGGAAGTAAGAAGGTAATGGAAGTTGGGACCAATTGTTCTGGGTTTGCCAGCTATTTATTCCCTCCCTTTTACTTTCCAGACTAGGCAGAATTGAGAGGGTCCGTGGATGGGAATATGTTACATTTTTCATTTCATTAACCTCCAACTGAAACTTAAATCCCCCTCAGTTGTGAATGTAGCAACAAACCATGAAGACTTAGCAATCCCTGCGACTTTTCCCTAAAAGAAACCCACATTCTTTTGTATCTCATAGGTTGTTGAAGGTACCTTCAAATACCATTTGCAATAATCACAAGATTCTAATAATGGCTCAGCCACAGCGGCACAAATGGTAGGGCACCACGGTACTATGTTGGAGCCACAGGGGAGACCCCAGTTCGGTTCCTGGTCAACCTGAACACATAGGGCACAGACTGTCTGGGAGGCTGGAACAGAAGAATTGCAGCATAGTAAGATTCTATCAGGGCTGCCTATCTGTGTGTGTGTGTGTGTGTGTGTGTGTGTGTGTGTGTTTATGTGTATAATACTTACTACAACACTTGTAATAATACTTATTAGACTACTGTTAGCTCTTAATGTTTTGATTAAATGTACATATATTAATATATAATGTTTAAATATTTAATATTTATTTAATATGTTATAATATTTTAATCCTCTATGTTTTATTGCATGCATTTAAGGCATTATTCTGAAAATGGGGGGTGGTGACATAGGTTCACCTGACCGCCAAAGGCACAAAAAGAGTTAAGAAAGCCTTGTGTATACCAGATAAAAGCCTCAAGAGAGTAGAATTTGGTCTTTTTTTTCCTCCACAGCTGTATCCCCATAGCCTAAAAGAGTAAATGGCACATAGAATCACTCAGTAAACATTTACTGAATAAAATTTATAACACTTACTGACATACTCAATGTCACACGGCTTGTTAACATTAATTAATTAACCAGGACCGATCTGTCTGACTACAGTGCCCTGCTGTTCCTACAATCACACAATGCCCATAAATAACTCCCAGAAATGAGATTAACTCAGTTTAAAAAAAGAAAAGAAAACTCGGTAGAGTGGCTAGGAGAGAACTGTACTGGGAAACAGGTCGGTGCATCTTGAAATCCTTTGCTTCTGCTTCTGCCTTATGCCCTTTAAGGACCAAAGATCAGGTTCCCTCTTGTGGAAGTTACAGTGACCCTGTTTGTACAGTGGCTTCCCTAATCCTCCCTGCCTTCAGCCAGAAGCTGCTCTGCTTGGGGATCCTTAGGGAGACCCAGTAGGGGAAGTCAGCACTTAGCATACATTCTCCCCTGGTGCTGTTGACTACTCAGGGTGGACTTTAGCATCAAGAAGTTGGATAGGGACCTCCCAGCATGCTCTTGCTCAGGTTCAAGGTGAAGATCCTGGTGGCTGCTTGACTAATCCTCTATTGTGTTATGTTCTCTCCTGTCCTGTCCCACAAAGGAGGAGGGGGCTACCACATTGGGAAAGCCCCAGTAAAGGGGTCCTCTCCAGAAGAAAGGTGGGGGGCTTTTTTCACTTTGGATCAGGCAGGAGACGTCCATATCCTAGTGCCATTTTCTGCAGCTACCTTGACATCAGTTCCACCACCCACCACACCATTCTGGCGCAGCTACCTTGACATCAGTTCCACCACCCACACCATTCTGGGTTTGATTTGTTAAGATTCCTCAGAACCTTGAGGATGCATGGCTACTAAAATTGTGGTGGTAGGACGGGGGAGTTTCTCAGCCTCCATCTTTCACATATAGTCAGCCTTCCATGTTTACTCATTCCATATCCATGAAGTCAATCAATTATTGATTGAAAGTATTGGTAAAAAAAAAATTGTTGCATCTGTACTGAACAAGTAGCCCTTTTTTCTTCTAATTATTCCCTAAACAATATGGTATAACAGCTACTTACATAGCATGTACATTGAATCAGATATTTCAAGTAATCTAGAGATGATCTCAAGTATATGTGAGGAGAGTCAGCCAGTAGTGTGGTGGATCCCACCTGTCCCTCAAACTGTGCAGTCTGGGTCTCGGACTCAGCAGCTTGAAAAAATATGCTTGGCACATGTATGTACATGGCCAACATTCCAAACAGAGAAATGGAAGAGAAGGAGTTGCAAAATGACCATCTACCATGGGCAGTGGGGGGATTCTTTCTCACTTTCTCTCTCTCTTTCTCTCTTTCTTACCAGAGAGCCCATGTCCTCTCTAGCAAATTAAAAAAAAAAAAAATCTATGAAGCATACAGGAGAAAATGAGTAGATTACAGGAAAATGCTGTTATTTTAGATAAGGGATTTGAGCATCCTAGGATCTTGCTATTTGAGGGAGGCCCTGGAATCAATCCCCTGCAGATACTGAGGAATGATTGCATATGCTCTCATAGAAGTTTCTTTGCAATTCCATGAATTAAGTGAAACACATATTACATTATCACCATTTTAAAGAGAAGAGCTGAAGACCAGAGAGGTTTCATAGTTTACCCAAGTCAGGTGCAATGTAACTAGTTCCCCTGGCCCCTGCTCTGCAATCCCAAAGGTCAGGGACGAAGCTGGGGGACTGCTGAGAACTCACCAGGCAGGCCACGAGTACAGCGTCACTGCTGTTCCTCTCCGATGGGGATCTGCAGAGCTCGATGAGACGGGACATACCTGCACGAGACACAGGGATAGGCTGACGCCCAGATGGTGAAGCCTGGACAGCCTGACTACAGGACCTAGTCTTTTCTCACACACCTACTCTGCACAGGGCCCACTGGGGCAGGAGGCTCTCAGGGCCCCCACTGTGCTCCCAATCTCAGGGGGAGGGGGGCTGAATCCATCTAGTAGAATCTGTGGTGGACATGTGATACTTTCTTGGCTGTGAACAGATCCTGGTCAGGGTCTCTGAGGTGGTGCTCTGAAAATATTTGTTGGTTAAATAAATGACTAATTAAATGAATGAGTGATTTAATGAGTGAACTAATGAATGAGTTAGTAGTGAATAAACGAAGTAATGAATGGGCAAAAGAATAAATTTGAGTAAATAAACACATTATCAGTAGATAGGTAAATGAACGTGAAACAAATAACTGAATGAATGAGTGAATGAGTGAGTGAATGAAAGAGCAGAGTCCTATTAACAGGGAGTCTGCAGGTGAGCCATTGTTCTGGCCCACTTTCACCTCTCTAGATCACTCCTCTTTCTTGCTTCAACACCAGGTTACAAACTGGACTAGGGGCTGAACCCTGGGCCTCCACCCAGCATTTCCCATCACTCAGAGATTGGGGTGCCCCCAGCCAATCCTTGCCCTGTCCACTGTTGCTTCCATGGTATCAGGGCTGCCCTAGCCCCTCCTCCACCTCAGCCACATCCAGCGCCACTTACAGCTGAGCCGCACGGCCTCCCGGGCCACATCTGGGTCTCGGCTGAGTCGGGCCAGGGTCACTGCAGCTTTCTGCTGGACTCGTTCACAGGCTGCCACCTCGGCAGGGGTCCCAGACCGTGGCTTCTCAGACAGCATGCCCATGATAAGCTGGACCCCTAGGCAGGAAGCAGTGAACAGTTGGTGCCCTCGCCTAGCCAGCGTCTTCTCCTGGGCTAGATGGATGGGCAATTCAGCTTTGAAGCTGAGGCCGTCAGGGTAACTTCAGGGTCTCAGCCACAGGGAGCCAGCTGGGCAAGGCCATCTTTCTACTCCTGCAACTTCCTGGGGTGTCTCGGATTCCATGTACCAAGTCACTACACTGAGTACACCCTTATTTATGTTTTTAAAGCATTGACTGGGCTTTTCCCACATGCCCAGCACTATGTTAACTGCACAGTAAGTACATCATTCACTAAAAGTGCCCAATAGCCTCATGAACTCGGTACTACTGTAATTCCACCACAAATCCCAGAGAGAAATGAAGGATTTTGCCCAGGGTCATGCAGTTGCTGGCTGTGGAGCCTGACACTGGCACCTGAATAACTGGTTATGCTCCATCACCTTTTCACCCAGTGCTGGCTGCATCTGAGACAGGCCCAAGTCCAGAGGTGATGAGTCTACCCGGTGAATGGGGACCCAAACTCAGACTGAATCATCACTAGACCAAATGTTTCAGAGCAGACTTAAGTACTAGAATGGAGTGAAGAAGTCTGACTGTGAGATCCGGGCCTGAAAGTCATCAGCTGAAAAGTCTCCCACCGACTGCTGATCTACCAGACTTGTTTTCTGATCTATACATTTTCACCCACCTCCCTACCTTGGCCTTTCCTTTCTTTTTGCAGGGGATGCTCTGTTCTCTTAGTAGAAAATAAGCTAAATGGCTCCCATCCTGTAGGTTATAGCAGAAGTCCACCTCCTAGGTGAGCTGTGCCCCAAATCCCCCAGGCCAATCCCCCTTTTCTGCACACAGTGGTAACTCCCATTTTATAATAGAATTTAAACCAGACACCAGACACAATTCAAAGATGTATTTTGGTTTGCTTTGTTGCTCTACGCAGAGTCTAATATTTATTTTTAACTTTTGCAAATACGCAAATTGAAGTTTTCATTAGGATCTAGATTTCTTACTTCTAAAAAGTTACCTCCCAACTAACACTGTTTCCTGAAAGAGCAGATAGGCTTAGCACAGTGCTGGTTCTGTCAGAGGTTCCTGTAACACGCGTTACACTAACCTTCACATCATCCCTATGAGATGGGCATTGTTACTATCCCCATTTGGCTGATGGAAAAACAGAGAGGTCAAATACATAACAGAGCCAGGATTCAAAACCACACATTATGAGACTTCAGGAAAAAAAAATCGTGGAAAAATGGAATTCAAGTACAAGTTTATTTTTGAAAAAAAGAAAAAGTAGAAATCTATGCATAGTTTTCTCTTAATATTGTTTTGAAAACCCTGTATATATTGAGTTGTCAGGAAAGTCATGATGCATTTTTGCATAGAAAAATATAGAAAAACACGCCATGACTTGCTCAATGACGTAATAGTTTCACTTTTCACAGTCTCAACCATGAGGCCATCCTCCCTCTATTGCATGTCTCTACTGTGGATGTTACACCTTTTTCATGTTATCACAGTTGTTCTCCTCCCAGATTGAGACCCTCCAGGACAAAGGCTGGGACTTATTTCTCTCTCTGCTCCTATTGTATAGTCCAATGCCAGGCATATATTAATAGTGACCTCAATGGCCGTTGACTGAGTGAGTTGGTCAGTAATATAAAGCCCTCTTGAGATGCCGGATATTCCAGTCTCAAATTCCTAGGCCTATGAAGACTCTCTCCCACCAACCCCTTGAACAGAGGCTGTAAGTACTGAAGGAACGAGGCATAAATGATTCCACTCAGCCTCTCGGACTCAGCTGGCTCAGTGAAGGTTTTCATTATTAGCTCAATCACATAAAATTAACACAAAATGATGTCTTTCCATTAGTAACAGAGCAGTGGGGGATGGGGAAGTGTATGTTTGTTAAGACAGCAGGGCAGCCGGAGGGAAGGGGGTTTCACAAGAGCAGAAGCACCCGACCCAGGCTCCCAGCTCACTCTGCCTCATTAGCGTCTCTGGTTTCCAACTGGTTGCTAATTGCTCCCTTATTTCCCAGTCACAGGAAGCCCTCTCCACTCTCTGTTCCCAGCTGCAAGGCAGACACCTTGTCCTAGGCAGAGACTGCTTAGATCCACATCCAGGCCAAGGAAACTGAGCCTACCTCCCCTGGACCTTAGTGACGCCCTCAGCACAAGGTGGAACAGGGAGCAAGTGGGAGAAGAGGTGCTTCCAGGGAGGGGTCAAGGCATTCAGCTTGTCCCAACCTGGCCCCCTCAACCCCCTTCTCACACACTTCAGCTTTCTCCTGGTGCCAAATGCAACAAATAGGAATAATTTAAAGTTGGAATACATTCTTTTTACCTTGTGGCTCATAATGAAATATCTGCCTTCACCTCATCACCCCACTTAAAATAGTAACCACCACTCTTGCCTCACCCTGCCCCAGGATTACCTTACTCGCTCTCTGCTGTATTTTCCCCACACATTATCACCATCTGACATTTTCCATGTTCTTGTTCATTGTTTGTCTTCCCTGAAAATGGAGGCCCCATGAAGGCAAACATTTACGTGTCGGCCCAATTGCACATATGGCACATGTAAATACACTCTTGAAAACATGGAGACACATGTACATATGTGCATACCTGCACACAGACATTCATTCACACAAGCACAGAGGCAGGGGTCCGGTGTACCCGGATGATGCATACGGTGTGTACACTACTGCAAAGACTCACCATTCTCCTGGATGATGTCAGAGGCACACTGCTCTAGGACAGACATGTTTGCCAAGATGGTCACAATCTGGACAAAGAGAAGTGAGAAGCTAAGGAAACGGGCACACCTGGCGGGTCCTCTGTGCTGGCTCATCCTCTGACACCTAGCCCCTGCTATGTATGAACTGAGCTCCCCACCCCAGCTGCTTTCCCAGATATGAACTCCCACCTCCTTTTAACCTGAAATGAATGAAGACTAAGGTCAAGTCAGAGAGCATGAGTGGGAAGGGGGAGCATTACATGCCAAGAATCAGGAGTTGCATGGATTTAACGAGACCATTTATATTCGGCAGCACTTGCCAAGTCTATGGTCTGTAAGCCTTGCTTTTGGTCATCATGGAGGGCCCTGCCTGTAGTAAAGGGGTGCTGACACCCAGTGAATGGTGAGCCATGGTTCTGACCTCAGGGTCTGTAACCCACATCACCTGCACCACCACCCCAGCATTGTCAAAGGAGCACAGAACATAAAACAACAGTGAATTGAGAAATGGGTCCCTTGTTGACTAAGGGACCCATTTCAGGGACCCCCCCCAACTGTAAAGGATGCCAAACCATAATTGGAATATATTGCAAACGTGGTACCTATTAACTCACATGCCCCCAACAGTGCCATTCCTGACATAAATAGCAAAATGAAAATGCACCCCCTTTCACAGAAATGAACAGCACTCTCAAGTGGAGATTAAAATAAATAATAAAATAAAATAAAAAGCCCTTCTCTCTGGTACATGCCTAGCTCTCTGGAAATATTTCTTCATAGGTTGGACATGCTATACGCAGGGACTATGCTCCCATCTCCAAATGGCAACTGAGTCTCCTGAGGACAATTTAGACAACTTAAATTCCAAAATTCTATACGACTTCTACCAAAAAAGACTATTGCCTGGATTTTCATTGGTTTAACAATGGCACATTACTTTGGATAATTGCATACATTTCTTCTTTTAAACAGAAAGGAAAAGGGTTTCCATGTTAAGAGAATATCGATCTTCCCTTCTTCCTCTCTAAATACATACTGAAGAAGAACGTTGAATTTTCAGGCTGCTGCGGAATCCATGTGTATCAGCCCTTCTGGCTCAGCCCTGGCCAGGGGTCTGGGTGGGTAAGCATGAGGGGAGTGTTTTGCCAGAGCAGGGACAGGACCATGTCCTGACAGCTTTATACTGAAGGCTACTCTGCACCTCCAGGTATTTATGAGAGGAAAGACAAGCTTATATTTACATTTAAACAAAATAATAAGACTGCAAGAGGTTTAGTTCTTTGAAGCTCTTCTTTCCTCCTTTGAAATTGTGTTGTGGGCTGAGAGGAAAGAGTTAGAGGGTAAAGATTAGTTGAAGATGCAGTCACACCGTTTTATGAGAGAGAGGATAACAGATCTAGTCCATATCAAGCTACGGTTTATTCAGCTTTGTCTGGGCCATTAGCAGTAATAGGGGGGCTATTCTATTCCAACCAATACCAGTCTGGCCTCCATGAATAAAAACACTTGTGTGACATACAGATTTGGGAGGGAGAGAAGGAAGAATAGAAGGAAGCAAAGAAGGAAAGAAGGAAGGAAGGAAGGAAGGGAGGAAGGGAGGAAGGGAGGAAGGAAGGAAGGAAGGAAAGTAGGAAGGAAAGTAGAAAGAAACAAGAAACCTTTGTCTGCAGCAACGAGTTCATTACACAGTAATTAAGAGCTGTGTCACAGGCACCAGGTAGGTCTTTGTGTCAGACTAATTTAGATCCCGTTAATGAAAATTACTTCCTCTTTACAGAGACTGTACCTCATGTGGTTTTCTGAGGTGCAGATGAAGTATTCAATTAAGCACAATTTGAATAAATGCCAATTAAGCCCCACTCTGAGCCCCCCTTTGAAGCACCCTCACGTGCATCAAGATGTAGAGAAGAATAGGTCCTGTTTCTGCTACCAGTCACAAACATGCCTGGGATTTTAAAGACAACTGGTTTACCTGGCTGGATATCAGAGAGCAATGTCGTCAGGGCAGAGAGTGCAGCAGCCAGGCAGGCAGCTTCCCCTAGCCCAGACTAATTCAGTCCCATCTAAAGATGTTCAGGTAAGACCTATTCTTCCCGAGGGAAAGGGTACTATTCTCCTTGCAGTGATTTGGTGAGTACAGAGAACCTCAGCCTGGAGAGAGGTCCTAGATGAGAGGCACTGTCATATAGTGACTGACCAGGTGGCTCAGCCTCCATCTAAATCCTGACTGTGTCGCTTATTTTCCATATGACCTTGGCCATGCTACATAACCTCTGTGCCTTGGTTAATAAAACGTGCTAGTTTTCTATTGCAGCTATAACAAAAGACCACAAACCTAGTGGCTTAAAACAATACAATTGTATTATCTTATGGCTCTAGAGAGCAGAAGTCCTAAGTAGGTCTTCTTACAGAGGTAAAATCAAAATATTGACAGATCTATTGTTCTTCTGTCAGCACTCAGGGGGAAATCTGTTTCCTTGCCATTTCTAGTGGTTTCTTGCATTCCATAGTTTTTGGCACTGCACCATCCTGATCTCTACTTCCTTAATCACATCTTGTCTGATTTTGATCATTCTGCCTCCTTCTTACAAGAATGCTTGTGATTACATTGATACTACCTGGGTAATCTAAGACAATACTCCTATATCTAGATCCTTAACTTAATTGTATTTACAAAGTCCCTTTGCCATGTAAGGTACCTTATGTATATGTTTGGGGGATCAGGATATGGATATCTTTGGAGAATCTAACAGAAGTGATAAAAGTTCATAAAATTGTTATGAACACTCAATAAATTAATGTTTTATAAAGCCCCCTTTGTTAAATAAAATGAATACAACTTGCTTCTAGTGAAGAAGATTAGAGATTAGAAGGACCCCAGCCTTGAAAGGAGAACTAACCAACCCAAGACCCAGTGCTTATGGTGGTGCATGCTGGGGTTGTCAAGATGTGCTTCTATTAGGAGAATGATTTCCCCTGATGAGGCCCAGTCCCAGAACAGGAGGAGCCTTTCCCAACAGACAATCAACCAAGTTTGTGCTCACTACCTTCTGTGGCATTTTGAAATCATTTTTCCTTTGGCCTCCAAAGAGCTTCAGAAAACTTAGGCAAATAAAAAATTGACCCATAATAGCAGGGGAACTTCCATGGCACTGGTGGTAAGAAGGAGATTGGCAAAGCCTTCTGGTGTCAGCACATGCAGAGGAAAAGGCTTACCCTATACAGATCAGAGTAGGTATTCTAGAAATACTTGTATATAGACTGATACCCATAGTAGTGTCTCAACTGTCAGCCCTGGTCACACCCTGCCTGTGCCCATGTTCCCTTTCATTTACTTGCTGTAAACTAAAAACTGAAGACCAAACTGCATGGGAGACAAGAAAAGAACGCCCAGAACACAGAGACAAATGCTCTGGTCCATCAGAATTTACAACACACAAAATCTGGCATATATTTCATCCAAAGTTTTTATTATTTCATGCCGTGTAAGAATTAGGACAAAAATGGCCAATGGCTCATATGACCATTATTGGAATTACTCTCTTCAGATGTGACATGGAATGTGTAGATATCTACTCACACTGTGTTCACTCTCTCATAGCTATAACAAGAATGTCAACTGTAGCCCTGAGCTCAGCAAGCAAAATCGTTTTCAGTCTCTAGGGGAAGTTCAGTGCCTCTTCCTGTCCTGTTCTCTTCCCCTTGTTTCACTTCCTTTACCAAAGAACAGAGAGAATCCCTAAAGAACATTGATTTGAAGAACTAAGGATCTGGGAAAGGAAAGGTGTGATCTCTTTGAACACATTTTCTTCTCTAAGGCTAGAAGGGCAAAGGGCCCAGGACAAGGTACCGCCTCTCTGCCTTTCATTTCCTTTTGAGCCTCTCCCTCCTTCAGATAGGCACAGTCATACCAGGACCTGAGAGAGTTGGCCAAGCAGGGAGACTAGGAGGGCATCTGCCCAGGCTCAAGACAAACCACTCTTTCTCTGGTACTCAGGTCTTCACACTGACAGGCCTGGCTTTCCCTTCTACCAATTAAATAAGCAAGACTGGAAGGCTAAGACACAGGCTGAGGAGAAGGAGCCACAAGGTCATATATCTGCCCTGGAAAGATACCCTGCAGACAGTGAGCTAGGTCAAGGGACTCCCAGGCCCAGCTTTTCTCCCTGGGGCTTGCATGGAGGGTAGAATGTAAGCATCACATATTAGAGAGTATGTGAATGCCAGCCACATTCTCTAGTTTGCTTTGCTCTTGGCTTTGTAGGGAGGAATTTCTGGAGAAGTTCAGAACTGTGTGTTATAATCCTGGGTTCCTCTGCGCCTCTTCAGATAGAGTGATATGCATATGTCTTCATGCACAAATAAATATATCCACCCCTTTCCTTGGTTTCTAGTCGTTATAATATACACTCCTCTATGTTCTCTCTCACACACATATACTCACATGCAAACTGAAACGACACACCACACATTAATTCACGCCACATAACACTCCCCAGATGAAACTGCTCTCTGCCTAAAATTTGCCCACATTCCCTAACTACATTTCTTGACCCTACTTTCCCACCCCAAAGTTGACAGTCCCTGTCTCAGACCCATCCCAATCCCCAGTTCTATCAGAGACCCTGCCCATTCATTATTGAGTGTCCACTTTCATTCTAAGCACTTTACAAGAATGATCTCACCTAATCATCATAACGAAGTAAGGAGAGAGGAAATATTGTTATCCCCATTACACTGATAAGAACATTGTGGCTCAAAGAGATAAACTAATTTGTCTAAAGCCACAGAGCTAGGAAATGACAGAGCTCAGATTGGAACTCAAGTTGGTATGAATCTCAAACCTGTGCCGTATATGCCATCTTCATATATGACAGATCTTTATAAACCATAGAGGGCTTTTGAGACATGAGTCAAAATTACAATCCCTAGTCAATGGCATTTCTGATCATTGGATTCCTGATGAATGATATTCAGGAAATGCTACAAATCTGGTCATTCTAAAATGAAAAAAAAAAAAAAGTATTTCTAAGGGGAGGGTATACCAGTGCCCTCTACCCTGCAAAAGCAATTACTTTCTGAAGGTGACAAAAAGTCATGGTCAATGTAAGTTTCCACTGGGGGTTAGACAAGCCATCCAGATCTCTTCCATCCTAGGCTGGTACTGTTTGATGGGCAGAGCAGAGGTTTGCCAGCACGCCTGGAGGCAACCCCTTCGCTGAGTCCCACTGCCAAGTCTGTAGGTGTCCTGGTGCCTGGATGATACCTCCTGAGCATAGAACCACACAGCCAAACAGACCATATGTTAGGCAGGACTCCTCTAGAGTGGCAGAAGGGAATGGAAGAGCCCAGGTGCAAGCCTGCCCTCAGCACTGCCCACCCCCAAAGGTGGATACGGTATAGACAGAGCCAGTGAGGTTTGTTTTGGACAAATTAAGTGGACTCGGCTCACTGGGATGATGGACGGGTTCTCACTGAAATGTCCAAACAGAGGTGTACAAAGTGTGTGACCAAGTCCAACACACTCCGCACAGCATTGGCGTCATGGGCAGATTCATTACTGGAAGGCTCACGGGGCATTTAATCTCCTAAGTATTTCAGGGGGCGGTGAGCACTTCAAAGCCTAATTCATCTTCTTTGTCTTCATTACAGAGAGCCCTCTGATCACCTTAATCCTCCCTCTGCCACAGGAAAGAGCCATTTGTTTCTTTAATGTGTACGCACTTACTAGCTAAGTGGTTGCTCTGAGCCAGGGCAGAAGGTGAAGCCATCCTGAGGACAGTGGGAGGTGTGCCTGGCTCAGACAGGGGGACTCCCAACTCCAGATACAGGGAGAACTGCTACCCGCCTGGAATTTGACCTCATTCCCTTCCTACCCTGAGACCGTGCTTCCTAAATATCAGTGAAGCTTCGAGAAGGGACTTGGGGTTAGAAGGACCACTCTGCACATAGTCATAGGATGCCCAATCCAAAAGAGACCATGCATATCTTACAGACAAGGGAGGACCTACCTGGAGGTTCCCATTCAATGTTGTTGTTCAAAGGCCAATAATAATAATAACACTGATAGTGAGTGGCTTCCATTGGTTTAATAGTTTCTATGTGCCAGGAATAGCACCAAGAGTTTATATTCATTAGTTTATCTAGTTCTTTTCTCAACTTTGTAAAGTATATATTACTTATCCCCAAATAAATAAAGTGAGGCTTTATTTATGTGGGTGGTTAAGGTGCTGGACTCCCACATGGTCAACTGTGGTTCAAGTTCCAGACCTGGCAGCTTGAAAATCATACTGGGTATGTGTATTTGCATGCCCAAAATCCCAGGAGAAGAATGGAGGAAAGGGAACTCTCCCTCTTGCTGTCTCTGTCTCTGTCTCTGTCTCTCTCTCTCTCTGTCTCTGTCTCTTTCTCTGATGAGTGTATGTGCCCTACAGCAAAAACCTAAAAATAAATAAATAAATAAAATGTTTTAATAAAAAAAATTCTGGGGAAGTATAGAACATGGGCCAGGCCTTCAAGGGGGAAAAACTCAAATGAAATTGTTGAAGCACTATCCTTAGATAAGTCAACACTGCATTGTGAGGTGTGGATTGTAAGGAAAGGAGGTAATTCCAGAACTCTCAAGCCATCAGGAAGGTTTCCCTGAGGTTTCAGGCTAGAATGTGAGTTGGTAGCAGCTTCAGCTAAGAGATGAGGCTGGAAGAAACAGTTGAGGTGGGGGCTGAAATGCACACAGAGATAAGCGAAGCTGAGGATCCAAAGACCATCCAATTTATAGCTCAGGCTTCTGGTGGAATTTACAGAGACCTAAAACCTGCCTGGATCCCCACCTCCACCCCTCAGTGCAGAAATAGGAAGCCAAACAGGTCAGAGGTAGGATGGGGTGAAATTCCAGACCAGGACTTTACCCCTTTAAAACCCCCTCATTCAATGTTTTCAATCACTTTTAATAGTAAAACCTTTTGTTCCCCAAACAAAACCTTCCAAATAGTTAAAATAATTTCTTTTGTTAAAGGGACTGATGCAGAGGTCAAGGCTCTAAGCCACTGTTTTTGTATAGAGGCAGAGAGAGAAGTAACTCACAGCAAGGACACATCAGTCAGGGACCAACATGACCAGGACACAGACCTTCAGAGGAGGTGCAGGGACCTTCTGTGGGTCTGACTGCCTCCCAGGATGGACGAGTCTAAATGGAGATAGAAGAAGGCCCTATGGTGGCTGGGAGGATCCAAGGGATAAGGAAGGAGCTCACAGAGAGGCTTCAGGGTCAATGAAAGATGGTGAAAACATAGTCCTTACCTTCCTACAGAATGCAATTCTCCCAGTGCCAGAGAAAGGGACTAACAGAAAAGACCATGTGCAGCCAAGCCACAGGCCTGCCCCACTCCAGAAATTAAACTCTGAGCTCCTAATCTCTGTGTCCATGGTTACAGACACCTTTTTTAAAAGTTAGTTTATTTCCGAGAGAGAGAGAGAGAAAGAGAGAGGCAGGCACTGCCAATAGGGCCTCCACGCCATGATCCACACCCAGTATCAGCTGGCCCAGATCATACATTTCCAGAGAAGTCCCAGGATGAACACCCAGGAGTCTTCCCAGGGCCAGGACCTGGGCCTGATCCCTCCTGAGCCTCTTACCTGGTCCCTGGTGTATGGTGTGTCCACTCTCTGCTTGTCGCTGCAGGCTTCCAAGAGAACACGGATGGCATTCAGCTGCAAGAGCATCTCACAGGCCATCGTGTCAAAGAAGGTGATGTTGGCAAGGGCCGCGGAAGCCAACAGGAAGACTTCCCCAGAGGAGGCCTCTTGGCACAGTTCTGGGTGGTAAAGAGGAAGAAAATAGCTTTGGTTTAATAGATTCATTTCAGTCATCTCATTTGGTTCCCACAATAGCTCTGGGAGATGATTTGGGCAGGCATAATAATACCCATTTTACAGACGAAGAAAGTAGTTACTAGAGAGGGAAACACATCTGTCTATAAAGATGAGAGAGCTGGGATTTTACATCAGCCATGTTATTCACTCCTTCATCTGGCCAGTACTTATTGAGTGATCACTGTGTCAGGCACTGCTGGTATCTTGGAATGGCATGGTAGACAAAGCACTTCAGGTTTTTGTCCTTGTTGAGTTTACACCCTACTAGTGGGCAGAACAAGATGAATTTTTAGGGGCCAGGTGATGATGTGATGGTGGCAAACGACCAATGATGGAAGGGTCCTGGTTTGCATCCTGGGACCTCCTTGGGCATGCATAATCTGAGCCAACTAAGACTGAGGTGGACCATGACATGGGGGCTGTGTTAGGATGCCCCTTTCTCTAAATAAATAAATAAATAAATAAACAAATAAATAAATAAATGCAAACAAACTTTTAAAAAATGAACTTTAATTACTAAAAATAATTCCAAATTCTAATAATTGAGAAGAAAATAAATAAGTGCTACAACAAAAAATAACTAGAGGCCACTTGGGTGAATATAAAGAATGTGACTTCACAGCTGAGACCCTAAGGGAGGAAATGGGCCCACAATAAAAATGTTTAGGAGAAGAGTATGTTCTAGACCAAAGGAAGAACATGCACAAAGTCTGGGAGGCAGGACAGAGTTCATAGTCCACTTGTGTTTCAGTAATGCTCCCTGGACCACTGAAAGATACCTTAAGGAGCAACAGACATTAAAGCAAAGAGTATCTCTCCAGCTGCCATCAGCCATCGACAGAGCTTCAGTGCTTCATTTTGGCGACAGGATTAGGGTCACCTAGCTGCAGGAAAGCCCTGCACACAAATTCTCTGAATGTCAGGGTCTTTCTCTCTGAGCCTAGTGGTTGTAGCCCAGTCTTAACTAAATCCCCCCACTTACCCTCTGAAATTGTACTAAGGGCTTTTGAGGAGGAGAGTACCCCCAGTCCTCCACCACCTAACACATGCCACCATGGGCTCCATGGGACCTGGAATGGACTCAACTTCAGGAGGCTTTAAAAAAATCCAGCAATCCCACTCTGGGTATCTACTCAAAGGACAGGCGAATGCTCATTTGGAAAACTGTGTCCACATCCATGTTTATTGCAGCATTATTCACAATTGTTAAGACATGGAACCAACCCAAATGTCCACAAACAGATGAATGGATAGAAAAAGTGTGGCACATATACTCTATGGAATAATACTCAGCCATAAAAATAAAAACAAGACCCTAGCATTTGATAGAAAGTGGCCAAATATGGAAGATTTATTGCTTAGTGAAGCAAGTCAGGCTATGAAAGAAAGATATTGTATGTATACACTTAACATATACTGACTGTCCGTACTTTATGGTAGAGATGGAAATATTGGAGAGCATAAAAGCAGAGAAAATAGTTATGGATGCTGAAGACTGTAAGGAACGTGGGGTGGGGGGTGGGAGAGAAGAGTATAGAAAGGATAGCAAGAGAACAAATAGAAAGGTATAACATTTGTGGGACACAGAAATGGTTTATTACCTGTTGATGATAATATGTATAGTATTCTGTACTGGACTGGTCTGAGAAGTATTTAATGTTAGGTAAATTCTCTTTAAAAGCCAAATTATGTATACTGATGAATGTTAAAAAAAATGGGAATAAAAAATAATAATCTGAAAAGAAAATGAAAAACTATTTGAGGATGTGGATAGTAATGTCTTTGTCTTAACTGATATGCGTGGTAATCATGCTGGAAAGGGAAATGTTACACACTGTAAAGATATGTATGATTAAATGTAATATTTTTTTAAAAAAGTAGTATGGCTCTGTCCATGGTGCTGCCCCACTCCAATGCTCCTCACTTCAGACTCCCCACCCCACCTTGGCCACCATTCGAGTTGTTTCCCGGGTCCATGTTCCCTCCTACTGATAACAACTCTATGCAACCACAGCAGGAGAAACTAAACTTCATTAAAACAGCTCCAGGAGAGAAAGAAAGTTCAGGAGACGGAGTTGAGCTGTGTTCTCGCCTGGTTTTTATTCCTGTCTCCAGACAGAGTCTGTACTTCTAGGTTCTGATATTACAACTGGAACTTCGTGGCACCTTCAAGGGAATGTAATTACTGGTCTCTACCTAAAACGGACAGACAGTAACAGTAGTTGAACACCTGCAGTGTACCTTTACACTGTGCCATTAAAATCTGAGCACCCTTGAAGTAGAGAGTGACTGTACCCCCTTTACAGATGTGGAAGCTGAGCCTCTGTGGGGCCAATAGCAGCAAATGCTGCCATCTACTGCGTGTTCACGCTGTGCCAGGCAGTGCTGTACATTTGTTACTTCATTAACTCACTTGATCCTCAAAATAAACTAATTTCTATTACAATTTTATAATTGAAGGAACTGAGGATTTCAAACATTAAATGATTTCCCCAAGATTTTATAGCCAGTTAGTAACTGTTGGGGCTTAATAAAATACAAGTCCACTGACTCCAAAATCCCCATTTCTTTAAATAATCCAGCATGCCCTTTGATTCATTCCCAGTGAAGCTCCACAGACCTAGGTCTCAGGCCTCGTGGGATGGTAATTCCTGCCTCTGCTCTCCACAGCCCAGGGTGAGCACTAAACAACTCAGAATCTTGATCTAACCACTGGTGTTTGGACAACAGATTAGACAATACATTAAGAACTCTACAATTCCCCTTACCCAATGACCACCCAATTCGTTGATGTTGGGGGAACCAATGTGTCATCTAACTCTTTCAGGAGACCTCCCTACATCCAGGATTCGGGATGAGACTATAGAACTCACTGGCTCACTTTGCTGTAAGATTTCTTCTAGGTCCCCAAACCCCTCCTCATTCTAATGCAGTTGCTGTTGCTGCCGACACAGCAATTATTAACACAACCATCTAAGTGCCTTTTAATTTTGCTGCACATTTATTTGAACTACAGTCTGAGTCACCTGGGGTGTGTTAGGAAGATTAAATTGAGGATTCCAGTGACTCATTTATAAATGTTTCCAGGGAATGGCAAGAAATTGGAGGACTATTTCCCACCAAAGAACAGAGTTCTGGCTTCTTGCCCAGAAGATATATTCCATCTGCTGAATCTGAGTGGACTCTACAATGCATCTTCATCAGGATGAAATAAATAGGAAGCCTCCTCTTTTCCAGGGAGAAAATCCAGCCTGAGCAAAAATCAGGAATGGACATAGGGCAATAGTGAAATGTTGTTTGGACTATCTATGACTTGGTTTGTTTGTTTTAGTATTTGATAACATTCATAAATTATAAAATTTTTACCATCTTAGTTTTTCCTAAATGCAACAATCCACTGGTGTGGGCCACTGACTTCCCCCTGTCGTCGAGTGGTTTTCAGTGAGATACAGGACCCCTCTTCCATTTGACTCCATTTGGGCTCCCTTTGACTCACTTGTCTCCTGCTGGTCTCTGGTGGATGTCTGAGTATGAGATTTCAGGCATAAGTTGGTTTTAACACTATCATGTGGACCTGAGGAAGTTCCTCAACCTCTCCTGGTCCAGGCTTTTTCTCTTACAGAGTAAACATTGACTTTAAGGTCTCTTGAGCCCCCTCTGGCCAAGAATTTCAACAACTGGCTTTTGTGTTTTCTCAGTTTTTAATAAAAGGGGATGTTGGCAAATGGATCTCTCTCAGTGTAGCCGGTGGGTGCCACTGTCCTGATGACTAGAATCAACCATAAATTCAAGTTAATTGATCTTTCTCTCCTGTGTGCAAAGTATTGCAGATCTTTAAGTTCTAGAGCTAGAAGACCCCTTAAGAGAAATGATTTGCAACTTCCCACTTTATATGTTAGGAAGATGGTAAAGGGATATGGAGGGTGATTAGCAGAACTTCGCACAGTGCCTGCACGGGGCTGCCATTCAACAGGGGCTTATGAATGGATGACTGGAAAGCCAGAACCCTAACTCCAGTGTTCTGACCCCCAGCCTAGTGTTCTATGCTGCCATTCATTCATGTTATTCCAGGTATTTCAGTCCTGATATGGTGATTCCATGAGCCAACCCTAAATTTTCTGATGAAATTAATTGTTACTCAGCTTAGATGAGGTGTGGATGTAGAAACAGTGACAGCTGGGACAGAGCTAGCAGGAGAAACACAGATCATCACCTGTATCCTTAACATAGAAACTTACAAAACAAGTTTCCTGAGGATTGCTTTCCAGACAAGTCCTAGTTTCTGCAATTTAGCAAGAAAAATCTAGGAAAAGGGCATAGTCTAGTTATGGGATTGTGTTCTCCCACCAGGAGTACATTTGTTTGAATGGGGAACCTAGAAGGGTTTAGGCCCCATGATGTGAGACCAATGGTGGGACTGTAGGCAGCAGGCCGTGGAGAAATAATGCTCTCTGAGAAGACACTTGCCCCACTGTCATTGCTGCCGGATTTGTTGGCTACAAAGACTGTGACTTTAGGAGCAAATCTTAGTGGAGACTCTCTGGCCAGAGAGCTGAACTTCAAAATTTGAGGCCCCACTCCTCCCTGGGGCTCATCCTGGACTCCGGTCTGAAAAGTCGATTAATCCCAACATGACCACATTCAGGTTGCTTCTCAAAGTGCTGTGTGCAATTTAATAGGAGACTCATTTAAATGTTTATGTATTTATTCCATGAGAGAGAGACAGAGACAGAAACAGAGAGACAGGCACCTACAACAGGGTCCTCATGCTGAGATCCACTCCCAGTCTTAGCTGGTTGATCACAGGCCAGGCACCATTGTGCCCAGGGAGGTCCTAGGATCCAGACCTTCCCCATGTGGGCTCAGTTGCATTACCACTACGCCACCACCCAGTCACTGAATAAGAGACTCTTGACAATAGAGCTCTTCAAAGCCTGACTGATACTTTGAAGATGAGGATTTCAGCTAGTGTGACCATGGATGCAAGGGCTATTTGGGGTGTGGTGAGCGGCAAACAGAAGGCCTTCCTAGCACTTCCTGAAGACAACTGCACCAAGGCCCTCTTGCCTATGATCCCGCCCACCCAGGATAACTCACTGACAAGGGCTGTCACGATCTCCTCCATGCTCTCCAGAAAGCTACTGAGGTGCTGTGTGAAGGACAGGTGTGGGGAGGTAACCTGAGCCACCACAGCTGCAGCTTCAGCTCGTGTAGCCTCGGAGTGGCTGTCGTCAGTCAGGATGTCGGCCAAGCACAGAACACCATCCACCTGTAGATGGAGAGAGGGAGGTTCCCTGTGCATCCCAGAGAGTGCCACTGCTCTTGACAGTAACGAGGCATATGCAGCCTCTACCCATCAGTCCTGACTTCCCAGACATGCCTCGGACCCAGTATGGAACCAGGAACAACTGTGACAAGGGTCACAGAATGGCCCAAACTCTGGAACTTGGAGGCCTCTTCTTTGTGTCCAGCAGAGATTATCAACTTCCATGGGCTTTTACATCAAGACATCAAGCCAAGTGTCTGGGGACCAAACCTTGATCATTTTCCATGGCAAGATGCAGTAGAAAGAACAGTCACTTAGGAAACTCCCATCCCTCGGGCCAGCCTATGGCCTAACAAGATCCCACATGGCTGATTGTGGTTTGAATCCTGGCTCCAGTGGCTTAAATGATGTGCTAGGGACAGATGCACATATGCCCCAAATCCTGACAGGACAGAGAAATAGAGTAGACGAAATTGTGGTATGACGACACTTCAGTGGGAGGTGTTTTCTCCCTTTCTCTCTCTATTTCTGTCTCTTTCTTTCTCTGATGGCCACACGTACCCCGTGGCAATTTAAAACAAAGAAAAAGATGAACCAGCAGTTGGCATAATGGCTATATCACTGAACTTCCATGTAGTCAACTGAGATTCAAGTGTCAGATCCGGTGGCTTAAACTCACGCTGGGCGCGTGTGTGTGCATGCCCAAGATCCCGAGAAGAGAATGGAGGAGAAGGGATTGTATCATGGCCATCCCCCTGGGGGGTGATTTCTTGCTTTCTGTCTCTCTGTCTCTCTCTGTCTTTCTGGTGAGCACACGTGCCCTATAGCAAAAACCTCTCCAAAAAAAAAAAAAAAAAGAAAAAAGAAAGAAAAAGAAAAAGAAAGAAAGAAAAAGAAAACAGACAGAAAGAAAGAAATTTCACATCCCCGAGCTCTAATCCCGGCTCTCTCTTCTTTGCATTAGTGATATAGCTTGGAAGTAGTCACTTAACCTCACCGAGAGTCTTTTTTTTTTTTTAACTTATTTACTTATTCCACGAATGAAAGAGATTGAAAGAGACAGAGTTAGAGAGACAGCACCCCCAACAGGGTCTCTATGCTATAATCCACCCCAGCCCCAGATGCACCACTGTCTCAGAGTTCTTCTCCTTCATGCATCTACAGGGTTTGAGGGTACAGGGGTAAAAGAGAAAAGACAGCAATGTCTGATGCTCAAGAAATGGGGGCTCCCTCCTCCTTGCCTTGAATTTAGCAACAGACCAAGCTCAATGCCTTCCCCTCCCCAGCTTGTCCTCCATCACTATTCCCCACATTCAGGGAGCAATTTCCCCGAAGGCCTCGTGATCTCAGTCCAACCAGAGAGGAGCAGATCTGAGCTTGGTGGGACTCCCATGCCGGATAGACTTCAGCTTCCCAGCAACCCCAGGCAGACCCGCACTGGCACAACAGCTTCTGCTTGCAAGAGCTTACAGGATGCCAGGCACCGCCCTGAGTAGAGCAAGTATGTTGGCATAAGGTTACTGCCTTACAATAAGCCTCCAGGTTGGTAGCATCATCCCCATTTTATAGATGAGGAAAGCGAGACGGAAGAGCTCATGACCTGCCCAGATTACAAACTTTCAAAGTGTTGGTCTGGGGGAACAGAAGGTGTTGTAATGGTTATGTTGCTGGACTCCCACATGGATGACCGAGGCTCAAGTCTTGAACCCAATGACTTAAATCCCACACCGGGTGCATGTGTGTGCTTGCCCAAATTCCTTAGAGGACAGTGGAAGAGAACAGATTGTGGCATGGACATCTCCCCGAAGAGATGATTTCTCACCTTCTGTCTCTCCATTGAGTGCACATGCCCTATGGCAAAAATCTCTTAAAAAAAAAAAGGCATTGGTTTGGTGAACTCAGAGGGTCTGGCTTCAAAGTCCAGCTTTTAATTTTTTAGTGATTTTTGCTATAGGACATGTACACTCACTGGAGAGACAGAGAAACAGAAAGCGAGAAACCACCCCCCGGGAGGTGGCCACACCACAATCCCTTCTCCTCCATTCTCCTCTCGGGATTTTGAGCCGGCACATACAGACACCTGGCGTGAGTTGCAAGCTGCTGAGTCCTGGACTCGAATCACGGTCAGCCATGTGCCAAGCCCAGATTTAAAAGAACATTATAATACCTCCAGTGGTGGCACTGAGCCCAGACCACAGCCTCCCTCAGGGGCTGGCACACGATACCTGTTGGACAAGAAGGAGGCAGAAGCTCATCGAGGTTAGCTCCACAGTACCTCCACAGCCCCTCGGGGGCTCCAAGACACCAGCCTGAGGACCTTGGCACCAAATCCTTCCTCAGTTAGGAGTGGAAGGGAGGATAGGGCAGGGAAGAAAAGGAGAGGAAGGGAGGACTGTTCTGATGCTTCCCACATCTGCCACGGGCCTGGGGCTCCTGTCCCCGCATCCTCACTTCCTGCCACTCAGCTCTAGCGGCCCTCCAGAGGTCTGCGTTCTGTCTGACTGATTACCACCACCGACTTCCGCGCCTCTCTGAAATGGCTCATGGGAGCTGTAAGGTCCATTAGCTGTGAAAGCCTTTGGCAGTCTCCGACTCAAAGGAGACAAATGTGGAAACAGGAGCCCGGGGAACTGTCCGCAATAAAACTCACCTGGATGTGCTTAATAAGAGGGAACAAACAGCAGCCAGCCGGCCCCTGGCAGGACTGGACTCATGCCAGATGTTTGACTAATGGGTCCTCAGAGAGGGGCCTCATTCGGGCCCAGGGAAGAGAAGGGGGGGCTGCTGTGGGCCTAGAAACAGGAAGCAGCCCTATTGCCGACATAAGAAACCTCTCAGCCTGTCTGGCCTTCATCCCTTTCTTCCATCTAGCGCCAATCAAGCCTGTTGCTAAGGAGCTACAGGGTCTCTAACGGGAAAATGTCTTTGCTACTCGTCTCCTAAATCTCATCTTGGTTACAGGTGGGGTTGCCTCCCTGGTCCCTGACTCAGGAACACAGACCAGACCCAAGCCACTACCCTGCCTAGAGCCCAACACACAGTTGGAGATACACCAGAGAGGACTAACAGTCGATGGTCCCCAGGGCCTGGTGCCATCCCATGTCTGAATGCTAGGCCTGCTGTCCAGACCAGAATGCAGTTCTGCAAACCTCCGGAACAAAATGTCCCTGAGTACGTAAGGCATACAGGCCTTGTGCTGCAGTAGAATCAGGGAAGAGTGCCCCCTGCAGGGGAGAGGCGACTCACACCCACAAACAGCCAGCAGACAGCAAGACTTCCAGTGAGGATGCTCTCAGGGAAGCCTCCTGAAGTCACCCCAGATTTAATGCCTACACCCTGACCAGAGGAGGCGGCCCTCTTCAGGGCTCCCAGGCCCAAACATTTCTGGTATCGTCATAGCATTTATCAAACTCCGGGGCCCTGGTTCTCCAAGTGGGGTCTGTAGACCATCTGCATCAGGTTCTCTGAGGGTCTCTTTTTTTTTTTTTTTTTTGAGAGGGTTTTGTTATAGGGCACGTGCACTCGCCAGAAAAAGAGAGAGAGAGACAGAGACAGAAAGCGAGAAATCACCCCCCAGGCGGGATGGCCACGCTGCAGTCCCTTCTCCTCCGTTCTCCTCTTGGGCATGTACACACACGCCCCTGGCGTGAGTTTTAAGCCACCAGGTCCAAGACTCGAACTGCGGTTGACTACATGGGAGTCCAGTGACAAAGCCATTATGCCAACTGCTGGTCCCATGGTTCTCTGAGGGTTTCTAAGGAATAGTTCCCATGTCCCACACAGACGCACTCACCAGAACCTCCGAGAGTCCTGAGAGTCTTTTCAGCAGACCCACGGCTGACTTTCATGCCCCAGCAATTTGGAGAAGCACAGCTGTAGTGAGTCTCTGCTCCTCGGTTTGTCTGTTTCCTGTTTCCCTGCCAGCTCTGCAAATCTGGGGTCACTCCCAGCTGCTCCAGGCCTGGCATGCAGTAGGCTTTCAGTAAATGAGGAATAAATACAAGAAAGTAAAATCTGACCTAAGACCTGAGGGCACATTTTGGATAAGTAAAGACAGAAGAATGGCATAGCAGATGGAGGGGAGATGGCACATGAAGGCAGTTACAGGAAAGGGCTGAACTGGAGAAAGAGCCAGCGTGAACACACATCGTACAGGTCCTGGGACCCAGAAAGCTAGCGCCAGTCTGCCGGCAACCTCAACTCCTTCACAGCCCTTTGGTTTCCCTGGGGGATCTGTGGAATCCTGTCTACACACTTAGCATTCCCCTATTATCTTGCTTTCCTTCTTATTTGTTTTATATGCTCCAGGCCCCTTTTGATAATTTATTAATTATGAAATGCCATCTCTGCAAAACAGACTATGTATACATAATGTATAAGGTATAGCAAACACCTATATTTACAGATGTATATACCTGATATCCAGAAATAATCCATCTTAGAAATAAAACCAAGAAAGCCCCCTGCATGTCTTTCTTGATCTCATGTCTGCTTTTTCCTGTGGGACAGACCATTACCCTAACTTTTGTGCTTACGACTCACTTCTCTTCTTTACAGCTTTATTACACATGAGTTTTGCAAGGTTTTCTTACTTGACGTAAGTGGTGTCATATTGTATAAAGCAATTTGCTTTTTTTTCCAGTCAGCATTATGTTTATGAAATTCCTTTCAGTTGCTATATGTGGTTATGGTCTATTTATTTTCACTGCTGTATGGTATTTCATTATAAAAATCGATTGCAATTCATTTATGCATTCTCCTATCGATAGATATTTGAGTGGTTTCCCAGTTTTTGCTAAAATAGACAGTGCTGCTATAAATATTCTTCTAAATGTCTCCTGATGAACATGTGCCAATTTCTCCAGGGTTTTCCAGCTAGGGGTGGAATTCCTAAGGCACAGTTTGTACATCTTTCACTTTACCAGTATCCAAATTATTGTGACACGATTGTAGCCATTTATACTCTTACCAGCAATACATAAACTCACTTAGCTCCATATCCT